AGTTTCTCTGGTCTTGCTGGCTGCAGCAGGCTGAGGGGCTTTTCTCCATTTCTGATCAGCACTCAGTCAGCCTTGCACTCGCACTCTCCCCCAAGCTAACTGGCACCTCTCTGTGGGCCCTTGAGTGTGGGATCCAGGCCTTTCTCAGCACTCTCCCAGGGGTTACCACTGTGGGCTGGGACCTTTAGGAGAGCTCACTGTCCCCAGATTGCAGGCATAGGTGCACACACTCAGCCAAGCTGCCTCTGGCCCCACATGTTCAGGCACACACCCTTCCCGGTGCTATGGGGGAACACAGGGCTTCCCTTGCCCCCTGGTAGGCGCTGCCTGGCTGGGTGGGGAGGAGGCTGGAGTGCAGAATTCCCCAGACAGTGTCTCTTTTTTCACTTTTCCTTTTCAATAAATTCCTCCTACTCAAGTCCGCCGCTCTGCTCAGCGACCTGGCATCTTGCACAGCCCAATTCTCTAGCCAGACTGGGGACTATCAGGGTCAGGACCCATCGCAGCCTGACTCTCAGCTCTCTCCAATCAACATCCACAGACTGTGGGTACTCACAGCCCCTGTGTGTTTGCCACTTAGTCCTTATTCCCCTCTCTGCGACTTCAAGCCACCAGGTCTCTCCCGGTGCTACTCAAATCTTGTTTGGCCGGAGAGGGAACAGTTGACCCAGCTCTCTCCCAAGAACCCTGTGGCAGGCCTGGCAGCCACCACCGGGCTCTGGTCCTCATACTGGTTCCTGGGACCTTATTGTCCTAAAGCACTCTCCTGACCATCTGGTTTTTCAATGTCCACTACAATTTTTGGTCTCCTATTTTCATATATGCTGGGGTACTACTGTTGGCTGTTTGCTCTGTTCCTCCATAGACTGGCTAGGTTTTTCTCCTGTGTGTAGGGAAAAGTGGAATCTGCTCCTTCCTACCTCGCCGCCATCTCTTCCCAGGTATCAATTACTTTTATGCAACAGGAAGAATAGCTGAGAGTCTTGGAATGATCTGGACAGGCACATTAAATGCCTGTCTCATATGTCACATCATCCATTTGAGCTTATTAAGTCATTTAATTGCTCAGAAGCACCAAATTACTTTTTTCCTAACACATTTGCTTGTTTGTTTCAAATCTGGCAGTTGAGGTAAAAATCAGTCTTTTGTTCAGAGTATGAAAAACCATCTCCTTCTTTGCTTTGCTTTTCCTTGGGAAATTGAGAGAAGGACACAAGTGTTTGGAAAGGAATTGAGGATGGCAGAAAGCCACAGGGAGGACCAGGACTGGTCTTGGTATTTTCACACTCAGCCTGGGTGCTAGAGACCTGAGAATGGTGCAGTCTGTGTGCAGTGCTGGATGATCTCACAGGTCATTGCTACATCCTAGAGGCCATCTATCTTCCTTCAGGGAGTGTCCTGGCAGGCAGCTGTTTTCATCACTGGACTGGGAGGAGGGCAAAACTTACACTCTCCTTTCTCTCCTCCTCCACATCCCAAAAGTCAGTTTTTTTACTCCCAGGGACATCAGTGGAAACTAGCTCTGATGTCCTGCACCTGCAGCTATTCCAAGTCACTTAGGGTACCTAGCTGGCCCTATTCCCTCAGAGGGAGGATCTCTGCATGCCTGCCAAGTTAGCCCCAGGAGTCACCTTCCTCACTGTCCTCAAACTCTCCTGCTGGGCCTGGGTCTGTTCTGCCTGTGCATCATCCCCAAGCACCAGTGCCAACTCCAGCTGCCCTGAACCCTGACTTCTGTATTCCAACCCAGACAGGCCAGTGCCCTAGGCTCTGTGAACATGTGGAACAAAGGGAAAATGAAATCTCCTCAGTAATTTTTTTTACTCAGCATGTCAATTCTCAGACATCAGTATGTAAGCATTCTCCCCTAGAATTTGTTGAAAATGCAAATTTCCTGGCTTCATTCCCCCAGCATCTCAGCAAGTAGGTACAAGATGGACACAGGATCTGTGCCAAGGTCCTGACATGGTGAGAAATGCTGACTTGGGATCTCTTTGTTTTACAATGAATGTCCTAGTTTCCTAAAAACCAGACTACCAGGTGAAAAGCTCCACATGTGGAACCCCTTGATAACCCTTAGGACAGCCTGGTATGGGATACCAGGGGCCATTTGTGTGGCTATGGTTGATAGGGAAAGGCAGGGACAGGGAGACAGGCCTTTACAGCTGGCTGGTAGCCCAAGGAAGACTGAGGGTAAAGGAGACTTCCCACCTTTCCCATCCAGCCAGTGAGCCCCAACCAGGGCTTGGATACTGCAAGGGATGAGGGTACAGCAGGGTGGTGTCTCCTCCAAGTTGTCCCTCTAATCCTGGTCATGGGACCCTTCACTGCTTCATGGAGTTCCCATAGCCTTCTTCAGAAGAAGGAAAACACGAGAGGGGTATAGCAGACAGCAGTGGAGGTACATGTCATCTGTGTGACTCTGGACTTGGTGATGTGCCCGGGGCTTTGCAGGAAGAGGGCCCATGGTCCTGTGGGTTGAACAGGTCCCACTGCACAGGAGCTGCACTCACAGGCCTGAGAGCTGAGAGAGCCATGGAGCAAGCCTTAGTCCCCAAGCAGAGAAGTGGCAGGACAGACCTGTTCTCCTCACCAAGCCCCCTGCACACACTTCAACTCCTGTTATCTTTCATTGCCCACAGATGGGAGCATCAGTCAGACTAGTGGCCTTCCAGGGACTGGGTCACCTGTTAATATGAGACAAGTGGGGGTAGGAGCTCTTTATTGGGATGCTGGCATGGAGCAGCAGGTTCTGCTGACCCCACTGCTCACTGCTCAGCCTCTCCATCTGGGAGCAGCAGAAACGTCTCGTCCCCAGCTGGCACTCATTCAACTTCTGCCCTTTCTGCTACTCCAACACCTTCAACCCCCTCCCCTCCAGTCCCTCTTCCAGTGCTACAGCCTCCCCTCCAGTGTGTCCTAGCAGGGCAGTAACTGGCCTGAGCACTTACTGTATGCTGGGCTGTTCTAGGTACTGGTTACACAGCAGGGAGCAAGGGACCACAGTTCCTGCCACCCATCACAGGGATGGCACGCCAGCATGGAGAACCCACAAGCATCGTAAATAGGTCATGGAAGGGCCTGAAGAAAGTGGGGAATGTTCTCAAGACAGGTGGAGAATTGCATTTTGGGCAGAGGGAACCCTCAGGAGTTCTCAGGTGGGTGCCCTGGACTGTGCCTGAGGGAAGTAGAGGAGAGCAGATGTGCTCAGAGGGTAATGAGAACACAGAAGTCTTTTCCCAACTTAGGCTTCTATTCTGAGAGAAGGAGACCACTGCAGCTTTCTGAGCAAAGAAGGGCTGTGACCTGCCTTATGTTTTCACTGCTGTGACTGCTGAGTGGACAGCAGATTGAAGTGGAGTAAAGATAAAGCAGGGAACCTGCAGTATGGCAAGTGCAGTGGCCCGTAAGAAACCCGTGGGGACATGTATGGTATGGTTATGGGAAAATGTGAGCAAAAGTGACTCAATGCATGCCCTCCCAGGCAGCCCAGGAACTGCCCTCAGGATGTTGCCTGGTCAGTTGGGGAACAATTATTGGGCACCTTGGCCTGGCCAGAGTCCCCTGCAGCCCACCTCAGCCTACCCATATCTGTAGCAAAATTCAGCTAGAGGTTTTCAGGGGGTAAAAGTGGCTACACCTAGCCTGCCACTGAACTCGTTCACATTTAGTGCTTGGACTTTGTCCTGCGGGACCCCAACTCCTGCGGGACCCCAACTCCTAGCATGGTGGGTAGGCTCTTCTCGACACCCCCTATACACCATCTCTAGCTGTGTGTGTTGAGGGTCCAGGACCCAGTCTGACATCAGATCACACACACCCCTGTGAGTTCCCGGAGTGGTAGGAAGGTTCAGTTGGCTGGAGTGGTAAGAACAGTGCAACACCTGCCAGGCTGGGGGTAGTGAGGGATATGGGCACAGGGGCACTTGGTGGTTTTCATGGATGGTGTTTTAGGAGAAGGCTGCTCCTCAGAGAGAGCAAAGCTTCTTTTCAGCCTTTCTCATCCTCTTCTGATGCTTAAAGAACAGATGTGGGGGTGGGACGTGTGCCAGACTTGCCTGTGCTGATGCTGAGGCTCTTGGCAAGATGCCAGAAAGGGTACCTTATCTCAGATTGAGGGAGCTTTTGCGGGGCAGTTCTAAGGAACAGCAGTGGGTGTCCACCCACTGCTGGACCTGCTGAGGCCTTCTGGGGTCCTTGGGGGCTGTGCCTGGTCTGGTCAGAGCTCAGGCCCTCAGGTCCTCCTTCAGGTGCCCAGCAGGTCATGTCACCACTTGCATTATATGTCACGTTGGTCTGAAAATGAAGAGTGCAGAGTTTGGATGCCTCAGGGAGGTGCTCAGGTTTTTCAGGAATGAGGTGTGTGAAAAATTGGGCTTCATTTATGATGTGATCTCAGCCAGTTGAGGTGCTAAGGCCACAACATTTTATGATTTTTAAAAAGAACTACCATTTTATCAACACCGCATCCAAAGCATCTTTATGCCTCACATGGGGCACCTGCCTGAGAGGTGTCCTCCACCTGCCTGCTCTTCAGGCAGTGAGGCTGACATTCAGGAGCTGAGGGCACTAGTACAGGGTCCTGTGCCAGGACAGGTCAGAAGGCAGGACACAGCCAAGTGTCCTGTCCTTACCAAATGCCTGACCTAGGGCTGAAGTGGCTGCCCCCCACTCCCTCCCACCCCATGAAAGGCCACAGTCTGAAAGAAGGATGTGACATGATGGGACTGCACCTGGGGTGGAGACAGTCCAGCTGCATAGATCAGGATCTAAAAGATATCACAGGGAGAAATTATTAAATTTTTAATAAAAATGAAAAGTTTTAGAAAAATCAAAATTAAAGATAAATAGAATTGGTTTTGAAGTGGGAATAGTAACCCCAAATTGCAACCATTTACACCAAGAAGTGGAAAAGAAAATGAAAAGAGATCTTGCAGCAGACAGTGGGCCTGACCCTGGCTCATCTTCCAGCTTGTCTGGGTCAGGCTTACCCACTGCAGTGTTTGTCCCCCGTTCCCCTTCAGGTATCGAGTGGTGGTGTCATACCCACCCCAGAGTGAGGCGGAGATAGAGCTGAAGGAAGGCGACATTGTGTTTGTGCACAAGAAACGTGAGGATGGCTGGTACAAGGGGACCCTGCAGAGGAATGGCCGCACAGGCCTCTTCCCGGGCAGTTTTGTCGAGAGCTTCTGAGGATGAACTCTCCACAGCCCATCACCAGGGAAGAAGGCCTTCCAGGAAGCCCTAAGGTGCAAAAAGAGTCACAACACTCAAGGGTCTCAGGTGCCTTCTAAGGCCCCTGGCAGGGAACACCATAGCCTGGGGTTGGGGCCCAAGGGTGTGGAGGTCCTGCCTATACTCACAACCCCCAACTGAGAGCACACCCTGATGTTGTTCTTGGACAAGATGCCTACTACTCCTATGTGAACTGTAAAGAAATACCTTTGGAGAGAGAGGGAGATGCTAATGCAGGTGGACTTGCTGCTGTGACTTCTGCCAATTGGCCATGTCTTTGCATCTCCTGGTGCAAGTCTGGGAGCTACAGACTTAAACTGGGATGGGGCTGCTGGGCAGGCAGTGGGCATGGGGCCAGACAGTTTGCAGAATGGCTTCATGGGCTGTCTGGGCTACATGCAGGGTTCAGATTGCTCCATCACCTCTCTTTATACCTCAGTCACCTGCCGCCAAGCCACTCAGCAAGGGTGTTGCTGGCCATGGGCCTCCACAGAGGCACCACTTTCCCTGGGAAAGCAGCACACAGCTCCTGTGGGGCTGCCTTTGGGCTCTGTCTCTGCCGGTATTATGAACAACACTTTTTCTTGGCCACCACTGCCCCTTTGCATCACTTCTTTCTAACATCTTTTTAATGTAAAGCTGTTAGGCTTTATATATTTTTAATCAGTCACACATTGCCTATTTTTCATATGTCTGGTGCTGCCCTTTTGTAATGACTTGGTTGAGCTTGAAAGAAAAAATGTCTGAGAAAACATCAAATAGGCAGAATTTTTATATTTACTACACGAATTTTGGAGAACTCTGAAAAGTCCACATTCTCAACACCACAGTGTTGGCTGCCGCTCCATGGGATAAGAGGGAATCCATTTAGGGGATGTAAGGGAGTTTGGAAAAAGCCAATTTCTTTAAACCATTACCAAATTTCCATGCTTTGTTTAGACAGTGATAATTATTATTCACGAATTGGAAATATTTGGAGTAAAAGGTACTATAATTGCCTTTTGTGTGGCAGTACAAAGGACATGAAGGTCCCCAGCCTTAAAATGTGGAATTTCCCTTTTTTTGCTTTAACAACAATAACTACAATGAGCATTATCAAATTATGATTTCTGGCTATTAAAATGTGTAGTTTTTATGACAGTTCGAATGTAAGCCTTCAAAGTCTACAAAACTTTGTGAAGGTTTTGCCATTTAAAAAAAAATACATAACTACTCCCTTATCAGGCAGCATGAGCCTTGGTCTAGATATTAGAGGTACAGCAAGAGTGACAGGAATGAGTCATCTCTGTAGACTGGAAGGATCCAGGAGCTGGGATGGAGTGAAAAGAGGAAGGGACAGCTCTGACCTGGGGATCTTCCCCTAGGTGGAGTCCAAGAGACGTATTCCTGGGCCCCACTGCCTACACTCACAGACATTACCTACAGTAGCCCTGTCATGAGGCAGTCTTGCTTTCAAGAGATTCACACCTTAGGAATACATTCTCATCTGTTCAAAGTCACAGTTGTAAACCTTCACTATAGTTTTACAAAATCACTCAGGTTTAAATTAGGCTGAATAAATTAGCCTTTGGTAACATAAGACCTCCCTGATTTGGGAGGATGCAATGAGATCCAGATACATTCCCTCTCCTGGTGTGATGCTTCCAAATACAAATGCTTATTTTCAGAGTTCCTATTCTGGGATGTGGCTTAGATATGCATTACTGCCCCAAGGGTTAGCACACTGGTGGGATCACCCTAAAGAAAGGCTTGTTTCCTCTCTAAAAATAGACTTAATAGAATTGAGAAATTTGTTCTGAATCAGAATAAAAACGTTTAAACATAAGGAGTCCTGTGCATGAGTTAATGATAACCAGAGGGTACCTATTTGCCATGAGCTGCAAACTTAATTGCAAAAATTGTGTGCATATTTTAAATCATGTCATCACCAAAAACATGCATGGATTAACATGCTGACTGAGGTAAGTGTTCTCCACTGAAACCAGGATTAACTCATTTCTCCACATAAGGAAAGTCTTTTTTTAAAAAAAAAAATGACAGCTTTACCAAGCAACAGAATAAACTAACTTGGACCTTCTTTCCTCTCCTGGCCACCGCCCACATGATGTTCATGGTAGAGGTAGATGGGAAGTGCTGAACAGCTCAGCAACTGTAGGTGAGGAGGCAGCCCATTGGACCCAGCACTCCTCACAGCAGAGCTGGAGAAAATGACCAGAGTCTTTGTAAGACATCAGCTGTCCCCACTCATAACAGAATCGGGGTGGCCATTGGTACTGACTTGGGAAGGAAAGTGATGCCGTAGGCCCAGCCAGCCAGGTATCCTCTGAGGAGGGGCTCCCAGAGCAAATGCCCAGTACCCAGAGGGCAGGTAGGTATACAATAGGCCCCATATTTAGGCTGAGTTTTCAAACAGGTTTAGTCAGATCCATCAGCCTTTATGATCATTTAACTAGCAGACAAGAGAAGGATTAGACCCTTCCTTCAGGCCATCTTCCTCAAAGGACACATTCATTTTTGTTTACCACGGTATTGTCTAGCAATACCTTGTCTGAAACCCTCACATTTCACCCTGGCCCAGGAACTTACACATCTTGGTTGTACAGTTGCATTTGGCAGCCAGGGTGACTTGCTTGAGGAGCACAGTAGAGTCCACAGCCACCACTGAGAGGGGTCAGTGGACACCAAGGTGATGGGTACATGAGGCCACCAGAGAATAATGGGAGGGAAGTGGGTAACCAGAGCCAGGCAAGAACTTCCCTGATTCCAGTGCCCCAAATATGCTCAAGTGCCTGGCTGGGAATTTTTTTGCACTTTGCACAGTTCACACACACATTCACAGACCAATGTTTTTGTTATACACAAATGTCAGTGTGTGATTTTGGAAGAATTCATAGTGTTGACAAACTATGATGCCTGTGTTTCTGAGTCTTTAAATAAAAATTAACATGGAGAGGTCTCATATCTGGGTGGTGGGAGCAGTGAGGGTGGGGCAAGGGCTGATGGGCTTGAGCAGAAACACCTAGCTTGATAGGAGCAAAACTTGGCAGGCACCACCCCATGTCCCTGCTGGCCAGCCCACTGGCTCACACACCTGTCACCTAAGAGTGTTCCCTTGTGGGGTACATGAATTTGTGTCAGGGTGGTGGGCTGCCGAGCAGACTGAGAAGATTACCCAACCTGTGCCAGAGATCCACTGGCTGGGTGGTAGGTGTCGAGCCACAAGTTGAAGGACCCCTAGCTCCTTTCAGGGGTTCATTTGCCTGAAAGGTTTGTCCTTTGACTTTCTGCAGATGACTTACATTCCTTCTTGTGGGAACGTTTTTTGTGTCAGTAGTTATTCAAGTTCCTGGCAACCAGGTGTGTCTGGTATTGACCTCTCAGACAAGTACTGTCACAGCCTGCCCTTGTTGTCTGTCTGGCCCTTGGGATCACAGGGTAGAGGAGACCTTGAAGCCACCAACAGGAGGGACTTCAGGAAATTGCCAACCTTCAGAAAGGTAGACCTGACCCAAACCAGCCAGATAAACTACTGTTTGGCAGAGGGCTGTCTTGGTAGCCTGACATCTGTCAGATGCTTCCAGATACAGGCTCTCACTGCCTTCTTAGGCAACACAAATGCCTATATTCTTTGGCTATCATATATATGCTTGAGCTAGAAAGAAGCTTAGAAAAGAACCACTTTACTCTTCTATAAAAATTAAATGAACTTGCACAAGATAAGATAACATACCATGAGTTACAGGTAGGGAGAACAGTGAGGACCCAGCACTCCAGTAAGGAAACATAGCACGTGTTCACCTACCTCTCCCAACAAGCCTGGTAAAAGATGTTCTTATATTCATTTGCTACATGAGAAATCAAGGTTAGAAGAGGTAGAAATAATCGCTCCAGATCACATAGCTTATGGGACTTGAATTCAAGTCTACTTCTCCAAGTCCAAAGCTGGGTGCTAACCCTCTGTCCTATGTAGGGAGAATGGGGAGAGCAGGGCTAGCGGACAAGTCCATCGGGATAGGGTGCCTGGCAGGCCAGTGCAACAAGACTGACCAACAGGAATATCCTGACTCTAGAGATGGACATGCTAACCCCTCAGGGCCTGTGCCATTTTACACTCAAATCCCATAACACACCCCATGTTCTGAATCCATACTAACTGAACAAACAGGACTAATTTCCCTTTGCTGGTCTAACACCCAATGGGAGAACAGTGTGCTCACTGGGACAGCTCAACCACTCAGTTTACAAAGCAGGGACAATTTCTATCACCTACTGGTGTACTGGGGCTTCAGTGAGGCTTTGGTCTCTATGAACTTTGTAAACAAGGGTTCCATCTCTTCCTCTAACTAACACCAACAAGGTTGCGTATTTGTCCCGAGGGAGCACTGGGTCTTATTTCCCAGGGGAAAAGCTCAATGGGCCAGCCCTTCATGTAAACTTCCCCACAAAAAGCCACACTGGGTGTTGCAGGGTGAGGATGGAGAGGGAGAACAGTTAGCTCCCAGTAGAGCTGTAAAGACAACATAGTGGCAAATCCAGTAAAATGACCTGAACAATCCTTAAGGGTTTTGAGGAACAGGAGCCCAGGCTTTCCAAACGGAGGGGCTGAGATACTATCCAAAACCTTCTACTTATAAAATATCTTCACAAACATTATTTCACTCTGTCCTTAAACACCATCATTTTATAGATGAAGAAATAGAGACTTGGTAACATTATCTTATTAGCTCTGAGTTAAATGAGTGACAGAGCCAGGACTTCCAATATCTGCTTTTTCTTAAATGCTGCAGAAATCCTAAAACAATTTTGGCAGCCAACACTTACTCTGCTGTCTGCACTAACCACCTGCCTGAATTCATAGATGGAGAGATGAAAGCAGCACAATGCTCAATGTCTGGGGCAAGACCACATGCTAGGATGAGGGATGCCTGTGCTATGTCCCACAGGCAGGGGGGTTATTGATAATTATTAGCTGGGAGTGACCTGCTGTGAGCTGTACCTGAGGGCGTATACCTGGGCCCATACTAGATGGAAAGATGAACAATTGTACCCCAAGTTCCCTTCTAAGTCTGTGAAAATGTGTCTCTTCTTGCTCAAACCCTGTAAAGGCAGAACACAGAAGCCCTCCTAAAGCGTGTCCTACTCAGGGAAAGCACTGACCCAGTCACCATCTCTGTAGATCTTGTCAAGATCCTTATTGATTTGAGCATGTTGTTGGAGTTACCTTCTCATTTCCATTTGATATTACACTCCCAAGTGGTTCTCTTAACTCCTCAAAGGAGGCCACACTCAGATGCCTGCAAGAGAGTAATTCTTTGTCCTGTGAGCTGCCTGTGCCCTGATTCAGGTCAAGTCGTTGTCAGCCCAACTCCAGAGCTGGCCCAGTCACACTGAGGCCTATCCACAGTGCAGTTTTCTAGAACTAGAATCTGGTAACTTTTTTTGTCCATGTTGACAGGTGCCTGAGTAGCCATGGGCTTCGCTAAGTTATTTCTGTGCTCTGACAGGCGACATCAAGATTGACTAGCATGCTAAGGATTAAGTCACAGACACCCCAAAAAGCTGTGACAGAGTGACATTAGTAAGGGCCCTTTCATTTGAAAATGCCAGAAAACAACTGGAATAAGTAAAATGGGGAGATTCTTGACTCAAGTATTTGAAAAGCCAAGGTAGTCATCTGACATATGTGAAAATGATGGAGGTGGTTCTAGTTATGATGACTGGAGAAATTATCCACATTTTACTGGTGGGAACTGGGGATGTTGAACATTTTGCAATGTGTATAATAGTCCCACACCCTGAAGACTGTTCTGCCCAAATACCAATGGTGAAACTACATCAGGTGAATCCAGGTGCTCATGTGCTGCTCTTATGTATCTCTTGTCTTTGCTATCCTCCATGTTGGCTCCTTTCTCAGGCAGGCTGTCCCCATGTCACAGTAATATTGTCACCAGCAGGTTTAGGAGGACTAAGTATAGCTGTCCCTACAGAAAGAGAGCTTCCCTTTCCCTGTGATTGATCACCTCTGTTTCAGTCTGAGCCCATGATGACCTCCCTGACTCTGCCACTGGGAACAGAGGGCAGCAATATGCTGACTGATAGAGTCTTAGATAAAGGCTGTCCCTGAGCTTTCACCCACCCAAACCACATGGATTGAGGATGTAGATGAGAGGGCTTCCTGACATGCTGGGAGCAAAACAGGAGAAAACCATGACTGGCCAAATAAAAACTTTTCAGGCCCACCTCCTCCCCATGACAATGTCCCCAGAAATCCCCCAGCAAAGTCTGAGAAAATGGATCATCAGATATTCACTGGACCACATTTATGAAAATGATATATAAAAACTGGATCTAGAAAAAGTCCCACAAGAAATACCAACAGACTTGAACATATGAAGGTGTTCAAAAAGAGTTTCGAGTTTGGAGGAAGTCATGTTCTAATGTCCTAAAAAATAGAACCAGGTAAAAGCCAGGATACAGAAAGGAATTGTTATGGATGAAATGCACCCACCCACATTCCAGAAAATGCTCCAGTCTGTACCCCTCCATGCATGAGAGAATGCATATAGTGCACTCACAAGTGTCATGTTGGTTCTAGAGATAGGGCAAGGAAGGGCAGAATTTACAATCAGGAAAGGCAGGCCCATGCAAAACAAATATCTACAAACACAAGAAGGGCTGTGCCTAAGAAGAACAGGCTATGGCAGAGGGATCCAGCCCACTCAAGAACAAGATTTGAGCTGTTTCCTGCCTG